CAAAATGAGTTACAGCGAGTTTTTCGTAATAATTATTAATAATTTTTTTATCTTGTATATATAAGCTTAATTACTAATTATATTTTTATTATAAAATTAGCTTTAATTCGCAATTTGTTTCATTTCGCCAACATATAAACATTGATAATGCATAAAATACAATTAATTATTTTAAATCAACCGAGTCTCAATTTTCAAGTGAATTAATATTGAACCTTCCTACTACAGTAATACGGTACATTTTCTTGTGTAATGTTCCACATATCGTACTGACCGTATCAGGTTACTGAAGCCAGTCAAATGGATAGGCAAACGTGCGGCCCCCCCTTTACAATGTTGACGTATGATGAACCACGCATCGAGCTAACCAACTTAGACAATTTAAACCTTATCGACGAGGTGTAAAGTATTAAATTGTATAGTAACATTCATAGTACGGTAAAACACTCTCCAGAAATTATTCTTTACGACTAAAAAGAATTATTTTAGCTTTTAGAATTTTTTTTTTTGTCTATTGTGTTTTTGTTTTGCTTCTAAACTCTGCACCGCTTCGTCAGAATTCTAATATCACCGGTCATTTATTTGGGAGCTGCCAAAATTCGTTTCGTTCGCCTCCTTCAACTCCGACAGATCTGCTATTAGCTTTATAAAGTCTGCACATAAACAAGAGACTGACAATATATTGTCAGCTACTTCTTCATCTAGTTCTGAGCAATATACCTACTATGTTTCATACTTTTATTTAAAACCTCTATAAAAGATTCCTTTGTCTTTAAGATAATAAAAATACGACATAATGGCATCACATTTTCTTTATTTTTTGCTTTAACGACTTCAAACCAAAAGTTTATTTATTAAAGCTTCCATACTAGAACAATTATAAAGTTCTGTATATCTTCAAGTTTGTTCATTTTCTCACTTTTTTAATTATTTTTGTTACTTTCCTTGTTATTTATTTTTAGTTAAATTATAAACCAATCTCTTTTTCATGGTCTTAAAAAACGTTTACAACTTTCGATACGTAAACATAATTACTTTAAAATTTACAAGCTACGAAAAGTTGTAGGCATCAACAAAAATTTATCACCACTAGTGATCTTTTATTATAGACCATATCGCACATAAAAATAACAAAAGAAACTTTATTATTCTATAAAAAGTATATTTTAATTGTAGAATTAATATATGTATGTACTTGAAATTGTCTTTGTATATTCCTTAATTTCATTGTTTTTTTTTTTAAGTTTAACGCATGTTTTTATTTAATAATCCCACTTAAGAAAATGCATACACAATGTAATATCATGTTAATTAAATAAATAAATATATATCTCAACCTTATTTTCCTATAAAATATTTATGTCAAAACGGTTATAAAGTTAATATACGTAAATTAATCTATTATAAGTATAAAATTCTCGAGATACAGTTTTTTTTCCATACTCCTAAAAAACGGCTTGGCCGATTTTGACGAAATTTATATATGAGAATGGTCCGAGAATAGATGGTCCACCCCAAACTTATATGGCAAAACAATTTCCGTGTCAGCTAGTCTTTCTATAAAATTTCATTATATATTTAGAAAATAAGTAACCCTTCAAGTGCCTTCGGAGACAATTTGCCTTAAATTATATTCCTTTACAATAAAAAAAAAAAAAAAACAAATAGGCTCACGTTTATTTTTTGTCTACTTGTCAATATATGTAGTGAGCTCTGCCAACAAAATAATGTACCGACCACCAGCGACGGCGCTCTCGCAGTAAAAATCCGATATCGAAATATAAAATCGTTATGGGCCAGACGTTTATATTTCGGGATGCCGTGTTATATTTGATGACATTACAGACAAATAAAACACCTTGCAGTGTAATCAATATGAGATGGAATGTGCGAAACATGTAAATACGGTAAAGTATATAATTTAATAATTAAAACTAATGATGATGGCGCTTAGTTGTGAAAGAAAAGTACACAGAGAGAAAAAAATCCAAAAAAGCTTTAAAAAGTATAAAAAAATCATACTCAACTAAAAAGCGGTCGATACTAGATGGGAGGTTAGCGGTAATTGTTTCACCTTTGAGACAAATAATACTTACCTATTTTTGTCATTTGTCACGTTTTTATAAAAAGACGGTTTTATTAAAAAAAAATAGTGCATAACTCAAAATATTTTTTATTCTTTCGGCAGCGCGCTCATTAATGACTTCTTTTTCTCATGGATTAAAATTTGGAATTAAGACGACATATTTTTCTGTTAGATAGTGTAATTGAAGATATAAATGAAATATTTAAAACATATTTACTATGGTAAATTAAAAAAAAAACATCACTACAAAGGAGCGAACTACTTTCAATCCTAAGATATTTCAATAAACCTAACTACTAAAGTCTAACCTAACTCAGCTACTAGACTAATAGCTGAGTTAGGTTATATTTTAGTAATAGTTAAATCTGACATTTACCAATAAATGATACGGTTTTTCTAATTACAATATATCGAACGATTACGTACGTTTTTATTGATAATTTCACGAAGAACCCCAAAAATTTAATCCCATTTCTAATTTGTAATCCTTTTTTGTCCAATGAGATGGGGCGTATGGTCCGGTGAGCACCAGATGTGGTCGGACAGATAATATTTAAACCGATTGAGATAAGAAACCAGCTTATTTGTTAACTGTCGACAGAGGCTTTGTTGTATAGTAGGTGTTGGCATGTGCAAAACTATTGTTTCAGACATATATATTTTACTATTTTTTAATATACTTTTATATGTTGTATCCTAGGATGTTGGGTTGCTCATATACTGCCCACTTTATTTTTCTTTAAAGTTTAAAAGAGGGATAGGCTTAATGAAGATTAAGGGAAAATGCCCAGAAAACATGGATTTAACTCTCTAGAGATACTTTCAACCAATACTTTGATTATCAGGTGTCACTTTAAACTTAGTGAATACGTAAAATAGGTAATGTCGCCACTGTTTTGCCGACAGTGAAGGTAATCTAGGCATCATCAATTTTTCTTATCGATTATACATATATTAATCGATTAGAATTATAAGTGAACTAAAAATCTCCTGATTTTCTTCTATATATTGTCTACATACAAATTTGTTTGTATGACTCACTGAAAAATAATCTGGTACATGCAAAAAGACATTGAAACATGCACACGTTTAGTTTTTTCTAATTGTTGTTTGTGTTCGTGTACTAAAATTAGTATTCTGAGTAAAACAGAACGTGAGCTGTATTCCATATTCGAACTCACATCATAAACAATGACGCGGTTCTCGCAATTCCAAATTGAGTTCGATTGATTGAAAATCAATTAGTGTATGTAACAAAATGTGCTTAGACAATTTAACTAAGTATATCGTCACAATAAAACCTTATTAGTTTTTATTTTTAAAACTGAGTTTTACTAAATTATCTTTTTTTTAACTACCTTTACTCTAACGATATGCCGTGATAACTAATGTTCTTTTTTATATTCGACTCGATATTAACACAAAATGATTCTAAATTAGAGTAATAATATTGCGTTTTAGCTATATTTAGAAACATTTATAGTATTGAGCATCGTAATAAAACCTGTTCTATAATCTATAGTCCATAGTATAGTCTTATTAAAGTATTCTAATTTGATACGTTAGCTTACCAGTCTCGAAAAGAAGCTAGGATATAAGAGACACTAGTCTGCCAGATTAGTAACACTAGCTGAATGGAAAATTAATCAAAAATAAAATAATATTGACTTCGCTCATAATCGAAATTGCGTAAAAAAGAGCCTATTAGTTATATAGATTATAGAATACGCCTACGTGATATAGAGTACACACTGGACGTCAGGCTACCGCAACGAGTCAAATTTTCTGAATTGATTATTTTCCTTTAATGTTAAAAATCAAGTGGAGAAATTTAGTTTTATATGTACTGTTGACTTTATAATAAACTAGCTATCCGCCAGCGACTTCGCCCGCATGGTCTTGTATTATACATAAAAATCTTCCTTTTGAATCACCCTACCTATAAAAAAAAACCGCAAAACAAAAAACCGTTGCGTAGTTTTAAAAAATTAAGCATACATAGGGTTATAGAGACAGAGAAAGCGACTTTGCTTTATACTATGTAGTGATACTACATTTTGGACTACATTGTATTATTATTATTAAATAAAAAACACATGTTTAGTTTTATCAGAACGCTGTCAAGTAGTACATTACATCATAACCAGTCTCGTGGTGGGTGAGTGAGCTATATTTTATCTGTGTCGTCCTCTCTCGTTTCGCAATGACACACGACACTACACCGCACCGTCAGCGCTGACACAACGTGTCACTGTATTGGATGCACTCAGCGAAATGTCACTTACTACATCATATAACAGCCGAATCTATACTCGAGTACAAGTAATTACTTATGCAAATATTTTTAACAAATAAACAAGAATTTGAATAGACTAAGAACTCTTATTACTAAGTATAGTATTATTATTAGTTATTAACAGTTTTTATTAATTCAAATTCTCGTTTGTTTGTTAAAAATATCTGCTTAATTGGACCATTATCTCAAGTAATTACTTGTCGATGGATGTTGAATGGTAAGATTTGTTAAATATATACCCTAGAGATAGCATAGCTTAAAGTATTTGGTTAGATAAGACAAATCCAACGTTAGAATTTTCTTTTATTAGAAATCTTCTTAAAACATTTTTTTTTTCTTTTAAATGAAAATAATTCAGCTCGTTCGGTACCTATACCTATCTTGATTGTTCAAAATATTCTTTGTATAATTATTTGCCAAAAACAATTTATGTTAATTACATTGGGACTCGTAGTCGATCTGTTTTACCAAGAGATTTTTTTAAGATAAAAACATTCATTAAATTTGTTCGATGAAATTTAACTAATAATACTTTATTGAAAACAAATTATTTAAACATTTGTAGGATGCCTGCCGCAAAGTAGGTAGACAACCTTAATTATAAATTAATAAACTCACCTATCTTTGTGTTCTGCTTGTCTGTCCCTTTGTCGTCTATTTTTGAACCAATTTGAAACCTGAGAAGAAATAAATATCAATTATTTATTAAAGTTCACAAATTTCTACCCACATTTTAAACCATAGCCTATACATCTAAATAAATAATAATAAAAAAATATATGTCAATAAAGGCTACTATAAAAAAACACCCTCGAAATATTGAAGAATTCAAGAAAAATGACCTGCCTTTGACAGAAGATAACAGAATATATCTATCTCGCAGGTATCAACTGTATAGTTACTAGTCCTAATAAATTTGGAGTATAGAAGCTGTGTCACACGGATGGAGAAACAAACATAACAGAATATTAAATTTAATATTCTGTTCTCTACGGTAGGAAAATCATATTCAAATGTTTATCTCTCGTTTTTTATCCTGATAAGTTACAAGAGTGAGGATTAATACTTAACTTAATATTTCAAGAAACTTTTATTGAAGACGGGCGGTCCAGAGGATTTCTATAAGTTAATTTGTTTATTTGCTCTATATATTTTTTTTCTAATACATATATATAGTTACGAATAATATTTGTTATACCCTCCAATCCGCATTGAGCCTGCGTGGAGGGTCATGGTTCATCCTCCTTAACCATCCATAAGGAAGGCCTGAGCCCCTGCAGTGGGGACGTAAAAGGGCTGGTGATGATGATGATGATGATGATATTTCATTGTTGGTTTATTTGCCAATTAAATTGTATTGAATAATCTCCTAAACTACTGAATGATATATATAGGCTATTATTTACGCGTGCGAAGTTGCGGGAAAACACTTAGTTTGATAAAAATTCATTAACAATCCACGAAAAAATCGGTGAACATACATACTTACATACATAAATAATATACCTACATACCCGTTGAATATAGAAATCCCTCCTTTTATTAATGTCCGTGACAGATTTTTGTCATGCCTTCAGGTTAGATAAGCTATAGGGGCTAGACAATGATACAAAACTAGTGTACACAGTATGATTTAGTAACAGTTTTTCAGAGGACGATGTACCAATCTTAGCAATAAAAAATTTACTTTCGTTAACCTAGATCTTTTAAAAAAATTATTCTTAATCTCAGTTATAGTTATAGTCAGGGAGTCAGTTATAATCTTTACATATTTGAAGAATTTATAATCGATTTCAGTGTTCTTTCTACTTTCTACTCATTAGAAATGCGACACATTCTAGCCAGAGGGCTATGAATGGATATATTGTTATTTGAAGAAGTTAATAATTTAAATAAGAAATATTTTAAAAGTCTTCGTAATTATCTTCCATTGACCATTATTCCTATACAAGGATTCCGATTATTTTTCATTCAGCTACAGAACTCTAAAAATGGTTAGAAAATTCTAGCTACAACACCAATAAATGTACTTATTGGCTACACCAACGCCATCTATTGGATTTAAAAATATCATCACAACGACGTTCCATTTTGTGTAGACATTTTTTTTCTTAAATAGTAACATGATCCAGGCAGGTCATGTAAAGGAAGCGGTTTTCGTTCTCCTATTACATGCGACCGCAAGATTCGCTCGACCATCGTAAGGTACGTGTGTGCTAGTATAAATTTGAAGTGTAAATCGATATCGATCGATTTTTAATATCGATGTTAATCGTCATCAATATGATGTTGTATTATCGAATCGGATATGTGTGCACAAAATATATTGACTTTCGATAGCTCAATTTTCTTTGTAAATATCAATGAAACTACTGCATTTTGTGGTACAATTGGAGCTCGAAGGCGTTGTGGTAAGCGAGTACAGTTTGCGATGCGGAGTTCATACAACTTATGCAAAGGCCGGGCCGAGTAGCTCGGTGGCGTAGTGGATAAACGCCGCGGTCCGCGATCGTAGTCGTTAAGCAACTTTCGCAAGGGTCGGTCACGGGATGGGTGACCGAAAAATTATTATCTCGAGCTACTCCGTGCTTCGGAAGGCACGTTAAGCCGTTGGTCCCGGCTGCATTTGCAGTCGTTAATACCCTCCAATCCGCGTTGGGCCAGCGTGGAGGGTCATGGCCCATCCTCCTTAATCATCCATAAGGAAGGCCTGAGCCCCTGCAGTGGGGACGTAAAAGGGCTGGTGATGGTGGTGATGATGATGATGCAAAGACCATGGGTGACCAAAAATATATTATCTCGAGTTCTTCATAATTTGGAAGGCACGTTAATCCTTTGGTCCCGGCTGTATTTGCGGTCGTTAGTATTCACCGATCTGTATTGAACCCGCGTGGTGAGTTATAACAAAGCAAATTAAGAAGAAAGATTTGATTGTTTATGGGTTTGTTTGTTTTAATTGGATAGGCCCCGCAAATACTAGACCGATTAGAAAAAATATTTCACCTACGTGAAGCTCAACATACGAGGTTGACATAGGCTAAAATTTAAGCGGGCAAAGTCGCGGTAAAACCTCTAGTATTAAAGCACTCACCTGTACAGTGGTGAGTCCCGTCGTCTCGGCCAACTCCCGTTTCTCCCTCGGTGAGGGGTACGGGTTGTGAAGGTACCAGTCTCGCAGCACGGATCTTGATTTTTCCTGGATAATATACATTTCTCATTTTCTATATCTATCTACCTAAATCTTCACGCCGTATCCTTTGCAGGGTAGGCAGAGAGCACCGAGCGCCTCAAAGAAGGTACGGTCCTTACATACATTTTTGGCCTAATCCACTTTCATTACTCTTTCCGTCTCAAGGTAGGTACGGTCCTTACATACATATTTTACCTTATCCACTTTCATTACTCTTTCCATACACACTCGCCGGTTTTTATAGCTTCTAATAGTATTGTTAAACGGTCATATCACCTTCTAACAGTACACGATGGATTTGATCGTGGAACGTGTGTCCTTCCACTTTCGCGTTGTATAATCAATCGAATGAAACATTAATTACTTTTTTCATTAGGCTAGGTTTCATTTCGTTGATGCTTATGGGCGACATGGGCTAAGTACAAGACATAAGTCACATTTCGTCAGATAACGCGATTTTACGCCGATTTGTTCCACAATATTTTTAAGAAACCTAACAACCCATCCAATACTACATTTTAATACTCCACTTGTAGCGTCGATTTTATTTAATAACTATCTATATTGATATTATAAAAAAGTAAAGTTTCTAACTTTGTTTGTAGGGGTCATCTTCGAAAATATTGAAATAATCACCACAAACTACAAGATACGCGAGTGACATGGGTATAATTTACGCGGGTGATGTGACGGGAAAATAGCTTTTATTAACATAATGTTTATTATCATTAATAAAGCCCTGTTTACCTTAAAACAGTATGATGTTTCCTCGCCGTCCCATATCGTCCTGGGCAATGGGAACTTACGGCGCACCCTATATTTGCCGACAGCGCCCAGCGGCCTGCCTCGTAGCCTCTCCGCTTCCATGTAATGAGCTGAACAAATTCACAGATTAGCACTGCACCTGAACTTGTAAAATAATTTTACCTCTCGCTTTCCACGTCTTGCTAGTCAATAAGACAGACAGAAACAGACTATAGCGTATTTCACCGTTCGTGAAAGAAATCTATGTACCTTTAAGCCATAGGTTCTGTAGTTTCTCGTGGTTATGTGGACTGAACGTGTGTGACTCGAGTAGGCGGTACAACTCCTTGAAGTTGCCTCTGTGGAAGGCCACCATCGCCTTAGCCTTCAGGACAGACTCGTGCGCGTGGAGACGCTCGCACGCCGGCAGCGACCACAGGAAGCGGCCGAGCCGCTCGATGTTCCCAGCTTGTTGAAGAACCTGACAGACAACACTTAGTTGAGATACACATAAGCAGCCCAGAAGACATAAAAGCTCTGAAAGTCAGGAGTATCATGAGTTTCTGGAGGCTACCAGATTGGAAGAGCACTATAGTTCTGGCAACGAGTTATAATTTTACAGCAGTGACAGTTCAGTTCCATATGGAACTGCATAGTACTTTAAAAATTATGATAATGGTTGGGTTCACGGATTGGATAAAAAAGGCCAAGTACGTCATTACCAGCATTAATTTAACTCGACACATTATCTATATTAAACTCAATATTGATAAATTTGATCCACTCCACAATTTTTGATTGAGATGAATACAAAAGTATAACTGGAACGACAATGAAATTGATCTGATGATGAAGCCGATAGCTCTTGAACCTATGTAATTAAACGCAGCAATCCTGTCGACGACAAGAACTTTGGTTTAAGATAAATTGGAGGGTGACAGTAAAAACCTTGCAATTAAATAACGCTACCATTTTATGATATTTTAAAGAAGCTTTTTTTAATGGGTTGAAACTCTACAGGGGTCAAGATATTTAGTTATAAAGTCCTATACCCACGTTCCAGGTGGGACCACGGATATTATCTTGGATTAATATTCTTGTCAAGACAAATACGAACATAAACTCGGTGAAGTTGCTTCCATGATACATTCAATTTTAGCGGGAAGTGGAAGCTTGCAGAATTTGGCCCATATTAAAAAATAACTGAACAAGTTAATTAAATCATTGTATTATTTTTATCCCGTTAGAAGCAAGTCACGGGGATTTCAGTTTGGAGTTCACACAGACTTAAAAAAAAATAGAACAGACTTCAAACTTTAATAAGTTGATAAATAATACTTATCTCAAATAATACTTATTCAAGAAAACGCTATTAAAGTCGGGCGGAGGTTTTGTAGGTTACCAATTAAATAATAGACGCCGGACTTCAGTAGCATTTTCTTGATAAATTCGCTTTTGAGATAAGGATTATTTATCATTTTGTATATGTAGATCTATATATTTTTTCCAATAATTCTATACTCATATTATAAAGAGGAAAAATTTAATTGCTTGTTTGTTTGCATTGGATAGGCTCCGAAACAATTGGACCTATTTATAAAAGTCTTTCATCTACGGGAACTTCATAAAACGCGTTGGACATAGGCTGTGATTTACTCGGGCGAATTCGCGGGGAAAAAGGTAGTTTGATAGAAATTGGTTCACAATTCAAGACTTTATCTACTTTCATAAAAAGTATTCATACTCCTTGAACATAGAAAATCCTCTTTTCGGATTTTGAATGAATGCAAAATTAGCAATCTTTAGTTTTTTATTTGAAATGCATGAAATATAATACATATCATCTAAATATTTAGATGAGATCTGGTGAAAAGCTTATTTTGTTTTGTTATAAAAGGAAAACCATGGATTTGATTTAAATGTGACCATCTCGATCCATCGAGCTTTCGAATAAAATATTTTTTTTTTTTTAAATCGGTCGACAATCGCCAGAAATATCGGTGAACATACTTCGCCGTCTAACATATAACCTCCTCAGTTAAAAACTACAAGTAGATAATAGTTTAATTTACTAAGCAAGTTTTAACAAAGATGTTAGCAAAAAATATCGGCAGAAATTATTTAATATTAACACAGACAGTGCATTATTGGTTTAGGTCTTTGGGAACCGGATGGAAGGACAGACATGTGCGAACTTGTATAAATATATCGAGTGTTTGCGGCCACCCGAGAACAGTATTTGAAGATCCGATTTAACTTACAGACAGAAACATAATTTTATAAATGTAACTTCTTATTATTAAAATTCTATCATTAATGGAAATATAAACTTAAGTAGTTCATTTTTTCCTTTCACCATTTCCTTTAGCTACATAAATTCATATTAATATAAATTTCATGTGTCCCTTATGGTAAACCAGTCACATTTTTCGCATACTCCACACATCGCTGATGAGTGTGAATTAAGCTTAAATTATCTTTTTTGCTATGGTCCGTTCAGCGTATGTTTCTGATACAAAGTGAGCTTACAGTTCCACTGCGAGGTGTAACAACTCCTCAAGATACTCGCACATGCATTTATCTGCGGAAGGTACCACATTATTATCAACCCTTTCACGTCTTCCTGCAGGGGCTCAGACCTTCTTTATGGATGGTTAATAAGACCATGACCCTCCATGTTGGATTGGAGAGTTTAACGATTGCAAATGCAGCCGGGACCAACGGCTTAACGCAACGAAGGACGGAGCAGCTCAAAATAATATTTTTTTTGTAACACGTATCGTGACCGATCCTTGCCAAAGTTGCTTAACAATAAAGATTGTGATGTGGCGGTTATCCACTACGTCATCGAGCTACTCGTGTTGCACACATACCCACCTTGAGTTAATAATTGGGTATTGAAGTTGCTCAAAATTATAGTTTTACTGCAATAGATCTACGAAAGGAAATGCCAAATCCTATTAAATAGTAGTTCTATGCTAGGCACAGGTATATACTCGTATATGTAGGTAAACAACCTCGGTAAAGATAGCTAACATAGGAAAGCCTTACCTACGCTTCAACAGAGGAAACAACAATATTGAATGAATGTATGATACACTCTTTATTGCACACACACCATACAGAAAATGATAATTTGACACACAGTGCAATTGGCGGCCTTATTGCTAAACAAGCAATTTCTTCCAGGAAACCTTAACATGACATATAAGATAAATTGAAAAATTAAGTAATCTATGGTGCTTTATGTGCACGCTATCACTTACAATGACATGTATGATTACACATATATTTGAGAAATGCAAATACCTTTTGTAAATTTTACAACAATATTGAAAACTTCACTTGGACGAAAATCGACCTTGACATCTAATCCAATCACTTGATTACGAAACAGAAAGTTCATAAAAAAACATAATAATTTTCAAACAAAAAGTAAAAGGTTTCTTCCGTATAATTTTATTATGTAAATCATTTAACCCCCACGCGGCGCGCTCGGGGTACAATGTGCCCTATACCATTAATACAGGGGTAAGGTAATATCTGACATAATGAAATTTGACGTGTGTAGATAACCCATCATAATTACAATTTACATTTCAATAATTATTATGGTATCTGTTTTGTAAATTCATATTAATTTGATCAATGAGGATGCTTTTCATTTATAAAATTAACGTTTATTGATTCTTCACATGAAAATTATTGAAAGGATTTTGGTGAAATTTGGAATACAGATAGTATATTAGTGTTTATAAATACATATAAACAATCGTATTCTTATAGCTCGTATAAAATGCGCTGTTTTATGTGTCACACTTGCTTTAAATAAATATACATTGTTACGTTAGTAACACGCATAGTGTTGACCAATTTTGAGTCAAATCAATATCATTATCAGTCTAGGCTGTTACAATCACTAGTGAGAGCCGAAAAAATATGCCACCTGTTTGTAAATCTGCTGAGAGAAGAACCGGCAAACATGTTAAGTATGAGCTGTTTTCTCCCTCTTTTATTTCATACAGAGAAATCCAATGAAAACATTTATTCATTGAAATAATAAGAATAACAAAAATAAATATTAAATATAAACTGAAACGGCACATAGCAACGTTGACAGTCAGGACCTATTAAAATCTAGACACTCACAAGATTGGCCAAATCAACGGATGTAGAATTATTTAAAATTTGTCAACGGATTTTGTATCTAGAGCGCCCCAAAGGAACAAACATGCATACAATACATTGGCTAATAAAAATATCTCACAGTCAGGAAATAAAACATAGATACTTAATTCATATACATATAATAAACATGCAACGCAAGGATGAAACGTGTTATCTTAATTCGCTATATGTAAAATGAGATGTAGCATACGCAAAATGCTACATACAACTGTGAGATTTTTTTGAAGATTCGCTTTCGCTGACGAATGCGTATGCGTTGTCTCGGTTTCGTAAAGACACGATCGTACAAACATCCTTATTCAAAGTATATCTAGTAGTAGAACTGCAAAATATATACTAAAAAATTTCTACATGTTTTATTGCTATGGTAATTAGGTAAATCATTTTGTTTAATGTCTGCCACAACTGATTCCTTAATACCTGATAACAACAAAAACTCCAAACGCACCAAATGTAATTATTTTCTTTTTTTCAATTACGTATGTAACACAATACGTTCTTCCATTTCAGCACGTGCTAAAAACTACATCTAACCGAAGTTCACCGGTGAAAATTGCCGACATCCACCTCTAATCCCCATTAGGTGCGGGTTATCCCATTATTTTCACCGTGGCGGGGCACGCGGAGACGGGCGGTCCCTATCTACACTTGTAAATGATACCCGACCATTAGAGGGTTGCGGCATATCCAATTTGTCTTGCCATTATAACTACAGAATTGAATGATGTATAATTGAAATTATAGTAGCGTAATACTTGTTTACCCGGGAAACTTCGTTCATACCATCTAATTTATATCGTAAAACTATTTTCCTCGCCATAGATAGTAACACATATTGTAACATATAGCCTCAAATAGTAATACATATCTGAAAGAAAACATATGCTGATTAGTTCAGCAGGCCTTGGCCAGCACATTTGGAGATTCATTTTGAATTAGACATATAAATTATTAGTTTCTCTAAATTAATATATCAACATGCATATCTTATTCCTCTTGAAATTTCCTATCCAACAATAAAAATTTAACTTAAATACTTTGCATGATTTTGGAGGGGTTAAAAGCGTAACTGTATAACGATATAACGTCGAACACAACGCTGTCGAATCATTAGAGATTCATTCCAATGAAACCTTTTTTTACATTTTGAAATAGGTGCTGTTTGATTAGAGCTTTAATTCTGTGAAATAACATTTTATTTTATTTGCTTAATAAGCAAGCCCTATAAAGCTATAAACTACATCACAAGTTACGAGTCGATTGAAATGCCTATTACCAGTACAGACAGCAGGA